TGTACTTCCATGGTCATCATGGTGTCTGATTCCCAGCATAGGGACAGATGATATAGATCTTGGGACAGCAAAGGAGCATTTCAGGGTGGCAGGAAACAGCCCAGACACTGAAGTCAGTTCTGAGTTCAAGTTCTCTACGATTCATCTTCTGTGTGAGCTTGGCAAATCAGCAAACTTCTCTGAATCTCATCTGTATTTTTTTTTTTTTTTAGTTGGAGTCTCACCGTTGCCCAGGCTAGAGTGCAGTGGCACAATCATGGACACTGCAGCTTCGACTTGCTAAGTTCAGGCAATCCTTCCGTTTCGGCCTCCAGGTATCTGGAGCTACAGTCACAAGTAACCATGCCTGGTTAATTTTCTGATTTATGATAGAGACGAGGTTTCACCAAGTTGCCCAGGCTGGTCTCAAACCCCTGGTCTCAGGTAATCCTCTCGCCTTGGCCTCCCAAAGTGCTGGGATTACAGGCTTGAGCCACTGTGCTTGACTGAATCTCATCTGTAAAGGAATTATAACCACAAAACCTACTTCCCAGGGTTGTAACAAGGATTAAATGAGTGTGTCTGTGTATAAAGTCACTGGTAACATAGCAGAGGCAAAAAATGTGATTCTTGTGTGTGTGTGTGTGTGTGTGTGTGTGTGATGTGTTGGGGTCTCACTCTGTCATCCAGGCTGGAGTGCAGTGGCATGCTCATGGCCATTGCAGCGTTGACCTGCTGGGCTCAGGTGATCCTTCTGCATCAACCTTCCAAGCAGCTGGAACTACAGGCGTTTTGCTGCCACACTTGGCTAATTTTTTGATGTATTGTAGAGATGAAGTCTTGCCAAGTTGCCCAGGCTGGTCTCAAACCTGTGGGCACAGACAATCCTCTCGCCTCAGACTTCCAAAGTGCTGGGATTACAGGCGTGAGCCACTGCACCCAGCCAAAAAAATGTGATTCTTTTCTTTCCCTACATCTCATCTGAGAAGTAGGGATGACGTCTCCTTGTCAGATAACCCTGAAGGGACCCCAGGGCAACAATGGTTGTGGAAAGAGCTCAAGGATTGGGATATGTAAGTCCCAGAGGCTAGAACCCCAGTTCTGGAACCTGAGTTTAAATTCTAGCACTGCTCCCTACTAGTTGTGTGACCCTAAACTAATCACTTCACCTTGCTGTACTTCAATTTCCTCATCTGTGAAATGGGGAAACAGTATTATCCACTCTAAGGGGTTTTGTAAAGACAGCATGTGTCAATATATAGAAAGAACTTAGAACAATTCCAGACCCTTAGTAAGCATTAAAAAAATGTTAGTGGCCGGGCTCGGTGGCTCAGCCTGTAATCCTGCACCTTTGGGAGGCTGAGGTGAGTGG